TTTTATTCTTAAATAAGAGTTCCTGTCAGTACTAGCTCTGGATGCATAGATTTTGGAATAGACTTTCTGAAATGAAGAGAACACTTGACAGAAGAAAATCAGTTCCACGACGCTTTATCGAGTAATACCGCTCCACCCTTTTATGGTTTCTGACCCTCTATGACGTTAATGAGATTGGAAAAATAATTTTAGCCGATAACGCTTCGGGTAATCAGTCTCTAAAGAACACATTACTACGCTGAAAATCAGCGGCTTTTTTGGCTATACTATATATCATATAACCCTGCGCTCTTTGTATAACTTCCCAGAAATCTGACTATTCAGTTAAATTTGGAAACCAGTACATATTAACGGATTCTGCTACTCATATTATTCTACGGACTTTCGATTTTAAATTCTAGTTGTCTAGCCCTCTCTCATACGGTAATTCTCACGAATCTGTGATATTCCTTCAACGGTTTCGCCCTTCGATTTCTCTTTTATCGACAGCGCTTCATAGTGTCATGCATATCTATTAACTCCAAAATTCAATATGTTTGCCAGTCAAGTTGCGTAAAGCACATTCCTTCACAGAAATCATTTTTATAGATTCGAGATGCTTCGCTGGCAGATTCAGACCTAACAACAACATTTAATTAGTCAAATTTGTAAATCTGAACCACGAACTTCTTTGGCCACCACAAATCGAGTGTGTCTTCATCATATGTTGGAGCTAAGAATACTTAATTGCATGAAATTTTGTTAAATATGTTTGAAATGGGTATGACAAATGGATAGCAGTTCCAGACAAAATGCAAAAACATCAGAAAGTTTTATATAGAAATTGCTATGTTTTATGCTAGATGATATAAAAACATTTAATCAAGTTCTTTCCTCTCTGCTCTACACAAAAGTTTGTGCTATCTGATAACAAGGAAACTTCTAGAAGAAAATCTTGATTTGTGGTGTGGTTTCACCGAAAATGATCAGACTTAATGTTAACGAAAGTGCAGTGAATTTAATTGCAAAATTTCTGAGTGCATGTTTTTTATTGTTTTCAATACCTAGGTCGAATATGTGACTTTTTTGATTTCCATTTTGCAGATTTCTAATGAGTAAAAGAATACTAACTAATCGTTGTATATGTTTTCGCATAAATTCTTTCACAAAATCATCCTTTGCAGAGATGCAACCGCCGTCGCCTACAGTAGTACGCCCCACTATGCCACCGGAGCCGCCAAAACCGCGTTGTAGGGAAAATGAAGAGTATTTATCCTGCGGAACGCTATGTCCACTTACCTGTCAAACTTACGGTGCTCCGGAAGCGATTGTTTGTTCGAAAGATTGCAAAAGCGGTTGCTTCTGCATGAATGGCTACGTAATAGGTCCCAGTGGTGATTGCATTCGACCAGATCAGTGTCCAGGTAAGGGCGAAATCTTACACTATAGTTAACTTTAAGAAAAGCTTCCACAAAGTCTTTATAGCTGTTTCTTATTTCATCTTTCATAACTCAACCCCTACGTCATTTCAAAGTTAAGAAATACCGACTAAAGCGTTTGATCTCACACTACGGAAACCGCAGTTGCATATATTTTTAAACTGACAGTAGTCATTAATATGTGCCAGGAAGATGTAAATGGCCAGATTGCGACGCTGTCATGACACAAAAAGACAAAGCCGATACCTCCTTTGAAAGGATGCTAAAGAAGAACAGTTCCGATTAGAAGCCAGACTGAAAGATTGTAAATTACCGTCCACAATAATCTCTTATGAAAGCATTACACAATAGCAACCGTCCCTTCATGTCTTTTTCATAACGTTGAAGATGATAGTCTACGATGCCTCGTGGATTAGTCAAAAATTGCAAAGAAAATAAGATCCTTCGCGCTGCTTCGACAGTTAAGACCTACGAAATCAGACATAAAACTGCCTAAGCATTAGCGGTCATGTCGCCATTCATAAGAATAGGATTACCTCAGTCATTGTTATGTAAATTTGTTTGGTTTCTGGTATATTGAGAACGTTCAGTCCATGTGCTTATGTGTTTTATAGCGGATTTAGCTAACGAATAATTTATATAGTAAGTTGTTTCACAAAAATAGCATTTTAATGAAAACTTGACAGTTGGAAATTTGACAGTGAAGTTTGCAACATTGACAACAGCAGCTGAGCAAATGATGGAGCTCAGTCGTTCCGAAATGAAAATAAGACACCTGTGAATCACGTGGATTTTACTGTATGCTCGCATCCTGCCGTTAGAACCACCAGTTTAATCTAAAGATGGAAACTGAAATTCTGCTTCACCTTGTAGTGGAACATTCAGCTAACATCTTACATTTTGTGCGATCATATATTTAGGTACAAAATTGTGATTAAATAATAATGCAGCACAAATGCACTTTGTGAACACGCATGACACTGTGTTGCGAAAAACTGTAATAGCGTGATATTTAGAACAACCGACTGAACCTCCAATAATATACACCTTGCCAGTTACCCCTGAACCGACCAGCATGCTATATGGTGTGACCTGCAGCGAAAATGAGGTTTATTCCGATTGCGGTTCTTGCGAGGACACGTGCGACACTTACAGTGATGGTTCTTCAATACCATGCCCTTCATGCAGTGCCGGCTGCTTCTGCAGACGCGGTTACGTAAGAAGCAAGGAAGGCCAGTGTGTGCATCCTTACTATTGTAGAGGTACCGTCTTAACTGCTAATGACTAAATGATTATTCGATGGAAATAACTTCACAGAATACAGCAGTTTTAGCATTGTATAGTTGTAACTGTGTGCATACTGGCATATAAAGTGACGACAAAAACGATGAAAAGGAGGTTGCATCTACTTCTTAACAGAAATACAGCTACCATGACTGATTCTAATACCAAGATCTAACACTAACCGTGTATACTATAAGTTGGGCTGTATCAGGGAAGTTGTTCGACGAACTTACTGAGGTCCACAACCACCAGCAAACCTAGTTATTTGTTCCATTTACCTTTGTTTTAGCTAGCATTATATTTTTTTGATTACTTGCAAGTGTTACTGGCAGTGTACAACAAACGTATTCTCTTTTATTTACACTGTAATATATAACCACAGACTGTTGCGTACGATCCGGTCATAGGCTTTTTCTAGGTCAACAAAATGCAGGTACACCAGATGAGTGTAATAGCCCTATAAATGGAGCACTCCATGTGGTCTCCCTTCTTGAATAGGGGTACGACAACGCTCGTTCATCAGTCCTCTGGTGTCTTCACCGTAGTCATCGCAGTTTCACAGACATATAATGCTTTGTCCGCCTAATGTTTTGACCATCACAGGGCGAATTTCATCAATTCCAGCAGCCTTTTCATTTTTCAAGCTTTTCACAGCTTGTCTAATTTCATCTACATAGATAGTAATATCCGTATCCTTCCACTCTACAGGCGAGTCTTCCTG